TCTGAGTTACTTTTCATACAGTGCTCTTGAAATTCATCTAAAGCACCATTATGGGTCAACATTGCTAGGCATTTGCTGAGCCTTGTGCAAAGCTGTAATGGGCCCATTATTTTTAAAGATAAATATTAAATATTAATACAATTTTTCACTAATGGCATGCTGCAATATTACGCAAAAGTGTTGTTTCTATTGCTTGTTTCTTTATTGCGTGTGTGCAAACGTATCTCACATTTTCCTGTTATTTTTCCTTCCTCACTCTCTGGGAACCTATATATTGTGGCAAGCCCTCTAAAATCAACATTAGATGATGGTTTCTTTGAGGTTTTTGACAGAGAAGCAGTCATGGAAACATGGAACACCACTTTGGTTATGACCCTAGAAATATAAGATGTTCTGTGAAGAAATAGTTTCCTCAGGTGCATAGATTTCTGAAAGGAATTTATCTGATCCCCATTCTCTGCATACCAGCATGGATATGATTACTGAAGCACACGGCTCTGGAGGAGTCATTGTGGTTTCTTCTGGCTTTCTTTTAAAGAAAGAAAGAAAGAAAAGTCTAGCATTGGAAAGAAATGCAAGACATTCAGCCATAAGCTGAACACAATCTACTAGTATTTCTGGAACTAGCTTATGATACATTTAAGATGGGAATGAAAATGGTGGTAGCAATGATAGCTGAAACAAGCCTAATATTAAAAAGTAAGTTCAATGCATTTGACATATCAAAGTTGCCTGAATGAAAAAACAGCAGAATTTTAAAAGAGAAAATCTAGAGAAAGTGTCACTTCTAGTACAGCTATACAGAAGACAAAACGCAAAAGACAGAACAAGCAACAGAAAAGTGAAGTGTTTTCTTAAGGAAAACAGATTTGCAGCACTTTCTAAATAAAAGATGATGATTTCTTTATTTATTTTAAAAATAGAAATACAAGTTTTTTTTAAAAAAACATTTTTTCCTATAAAGGACTGACAGTATGGCTTTCAGATATTTCTAAAAAAGGCATTATCTTTCCAAATTGTCTTTGTTCAAGCAATTTCCAAAACAAGATATCATCACATTGGTTTATTCCCTATCGTTTTCCTGATAAAGAATAAGTAGATTACCCCCATGACTGCACATAATACTCCTGAAAATAAAAACCTCACAGTTCTCTCTTTTTAACTTATTATATTACTGGCTTCAATGAGTATAACTTCCTTCCCTATTGCAGCAATATAGCCACCTAGGCTTTCTTTAGCTGGAGAAGTAAATTACATTGAAACTAGACAATCTCAGAAAGATAGAAATAATAATAATTCTATACTCATTATATATATCGAAAAAAGGGACCCCCATCTGCCCTTGACTTGGAGTGCTGTATTGGATATACATATACATGTATATTTACATCTGGACCACTTAAGTGACTTGTGAACTGAGAAACCATTGTAGCAAACTATTTATTAGTTTTGATGTTTGTAGAAATCTGAATTGGCCCAACTAGATTGACCAACATCTTGCCAATGTGGATCAGTTCCATTATAATTTCTAAAAAGTCCCATTATATGTAACTTTTAGTAACTTCCAGGTTTTTAGGAAATATTTTGAATTCATGGGATACAACAAACTTATGAAGACTAAGCAGGTTGATATAAGTTTCTTTGACATTATTTTTAGGGCATAAATCCATATCACACACAATTAAAACTTGAAAGGAGTGGGGCTGGGGAACAACTTCCTAATTTCTTTCTGGTACATTGGTTTTATGACTGATCATGCCCATTATTGGTAAGTATTTTGTAAATTTGAGTGTGGCAGTCTCAAAATTCCAAATGTGCCCACTACACTCAAAGGAATAGCAATATCTGGCTTATGACAATAGACACCGATGTACATCTTAAGTGGCTACAAATCTCCTTGACATTTATATTGGAGGGTGACATAAAATTTCAGCATGCCCAGTCTGCTTGATAAATGTTTATTTGTTAGATTTAAACATGCTGAAGTATTAAACCTTAATGCATGATCTCTAATACCTCTGATACATATTTTGAGAAGTACTTGGTCTTTATTATCAGATTCTTTGTAGATCTATGGATTTGCAACTTGCAACTTCTCTGAATTACATCTATTATGCTCATTCAGTCAGCAGTCTAGAATAGAATAGAATAACAGAGTTGGAAGGGACCTTGGAGGTCTTCTAGTCCAACCCCCTGCCTAGGCAGCCAGGAAACCCTACACCACTTCAGACAAATGGTTATCCAACATCTTTTTAAAAACTTCCAGTGTTGGAGCATTCACAACTTCTGGAGGCAAGTTGTTCCACTGATTAATTGTTCTAGATGTCAGAAAACTTCTCCTTAGTTCTAAGCTGCTTCTCTCCTTTATTAGTTTCCATCCATTGCTTCTTAACCTGGTCTCAGTGCTTTGGAGAATAACTTCTTTGTGGCAGCCCCATAGATATTGGAACACTGCTATCATGTCTCTCCTAGTCCTTCTTTTCATCAAACTAGACGTACCCAGTTCCTGCAACTGTTCTTCATATGTTTTAGCCTCCAGTCCCCTAATCATCTTTGTTGCTCTTCTTTGCTCTTTTTCTAGAGTCTCAACATCTTTTTTACATCCTGGCAGTATTCTAACCCTCACCAAGGCATTATAAAGAGGTATGATCTTGATTGGTCTAAGAAGTTTGCAGTTCAACAACAGAGGAGAACCAAGACTGAGAGCAACATCCTTACAGGAAAGTACAGGATAGATTTTGTGAGTGGATCTAAGGGGAAATAAGAAGAAATCTGTCTGTCTGTATATCTGGACCAAGATCAGGCCATGCTACAGGAAACTTTTAAAGCCAATATAAGCTAGTGAAATGAAAAGTAGAACAATTCTCCATGCTGCTGCGAGAGCCCAGGACGGGTTAGACTCCTCCTGATGATGTCAGCATAATTGCAAGTTTCCAGAACCAAATTACATTTACCTACATAATATTTTTACTATGTTGAACTCAGCCCTGAAATATCAAGGAATACAAAGAATAAGGAAATGCCTCTTAGCTGATGGAGAAGAATATTGTCTGCTGGGCACCTTGGCTCACAGGAAGACCTGTATATGTGAGAACTTCTGGGGTGTTCTTGAGGTTTTAGATAAGACTGAAGGAAAACTCGATTTGAATTTCAGAAACTTCCAAGTATTGCCACACAATGTAGGCAATTTGAACATATTGAATCAGAGACATGAGATAGCTACTATTGTTAACAAACTGATGAGATGAAGTATCCTGAGCACAAGTTTAAAGAGGTTGTTTTTGTTATGCTTATGTGATTTTGGTAATGTTAAGTAACTTTATAGTTACTTTGGGTTTTATTTCATTTGTGAGATTTAGTGGCTACTCAACTCCACAGGATTGTTGGCAGGACAGTTGATAAGATTAAAAGCAGTGAAACAATAAGACCTTTTTTTAAAAAAAGCAGCATTGCATATGTTAATTACGCTTAGATTTGGGAATGAAAAGAACCGTTTAAGACTTCTGCTTTCCTGTGAATAAAGCACGATTTAATCAAATCTATCAGAGATGATGTCTTGAAAACTTCCCCTAGTAACACGATGTGGAAAACAAGATGTTTAGGTTAACAGAAATCATTAAAACGATCTCTTAGAGGTGCCCGAAATGCGCTCCCTCTCTACGGAAAAGCAGGCTGCCATCTTTCGATTGATTTCAATGTGGGCATCCGTTAGGAAGGAGGGTTGCCTTTTGTCATCTGATGCCTTTTGTCCACGTTGTCTGGGGATTCCGCGGTTTGGAGGGCGCCAGGTTGGAAGGAGGCTGGGAAAGGGAATCGCTCTTATCAAAAGCATCTGGCATCGGCAGGCGACAGAGTCGCGGCCGCGTTTACCGGGCATTGTTTCTATTGTTTGCTGAGGGGCTGGCAATCAGGCATCCCCAACTCGGCAGCTTTCCCCGTGCGCTGTAAAGGGGGCTGCTTTGCCTTTCTGACATCTTTAAGGGGGCAAGCCCTTTACCCGTGTTGGCTGCATCCGTCGCTCTGACCAAACAAACCAACAAACAAACCCACGCGCGTTCGTGCTCCATATAGGTGGCTTCCCCTGCAACAAGGACCTGGCTGCCTTGCATGCCTGCGCACATCCTATTATCTAATGGGGAGAGGTGTGCCACGTTGAGCACGGCAGGTTTCCCTCCTCCCAATACAGGTAGGCAGGTGTGTGCGTGTGACTTTGGAGAGGGGGCGCGCGGTTCCCTCCACAAGGTTTGTGGCAATTGAACGCCCCCCCCTCACCGCAGCCTCCCCGGCGTGTGCATTCCCTTTGTGCCAGAGGAAGGGGGCCGTCCTTGTCATTAAGACGCCTCTCAGCATTTCGTGGGTTTGGGTTAGGCGGCGGGAAACGGCGCTCTCTCTCTCTCTCTCTGTGTGTGTGTGTGTGTGTGTGTGTGTGTGTGTGTGTGTGTGTGTGT